CCATCGCTTTTAAGTTGGAGGCCAGCGCTCTTAGGTTGGAGGCCATCGCTCTTAGGTTGGAGGCCATCGTTGTGCGGTTGCCCAAACCCATGAAGTCCTTTCCTCACTGGAATCTCACAAACATGCCATGCTGCAGAGCCTGATAGAAGTCCAACGACGCAGTCCACTGTGGCCATAAAAATGTCAATCAGAACAGCCGTGACAGGAGAGCTTCCAGAATTGCCAACACCATAGACGTTGCCCCAGAACAACATACTAGTGACCTTATCCGACAAGCGGGTAAGCTTTTGCTCTCTAATATTCTTCAAGAAAACTCTTGAAACACAACTAAACAACATAAGTTAAAGCATAAACAGCATAAACACTATTACACAAAAGCATACCAAACCACCATCGAGTAGGTACTATCTGCTTTGGATAGCCGATGATCACATTGAGCAGCGACCAAGCCCGGAAACTCGTGTAGGAATCAACCACCTGAGCTCGGAACCTTGTGGCTCAGGTGATCTAAGAAACCACGCTATGCTCCGCGGCTAAGCAGTAGCTACACTTGCATCTTGTATGTTTAACGAGGGGTTAGGCCGCGAAGAGGAGGGAGGGGCTAGTAGAAAGGAAGCTGCTAGTAAGGACCCAGAAGGGCTCAGGTTATTTCCATGTGGCAAAATAGATCCTCAAATATTTGTTTGCTTTGCTTGCCGCACACCTCGGAACAGTCTGGCCAAGGAGCAGTGTGAGGATAGCCTTTAGGAAGGAACATCTCCCACAGAATGTGCTTCCTTTCATGATCCTGTCCAGGTAAGGTTGAAAACTGAAGCTGCAATACTAGTTGCAAACAGCAAATCCCAATCACAACTGCGTGCGAAGGAAGGTAGTCACTGCTTGCCTGCTTTACATTGCGAATCTTATCACCCGCAGCTGATTGGTCTTGGGCTATTTCAAGCTGTCGTACGGCTTGTATATTTCCAAGACTTGGCAGTGTCTGACACTATCTGACGCTCTGCCAATGCAACATAAAAACACCAACTACCAGTACTGCAAAGCGAAGAAGTACTTTGCAACTTTCTTCAGAAGCCTTCAGAATCCAGGGATAAAGCATCTTGCAAAGGTCACAAGCTTGATACTGCAAGGGGCAGATGCACGATGGTGAGCACCAGAAACCACTCCAAGCTCCTCTCCAAAGATGTCGCCTCAGCCTGCATGTCAATGCATGTGGTGTCTTCTCAAGGAAACGAATAGCGATGGCCTCCACCCTAGTAGCGGCCTCCAACCTAATAGCGACGCTCTTCTCGAAAAAATGTTCGTCAAGAGCTGTTGAAAATGCGAAATCACAGAGCCTTGACACCAGAGCCGATCCCGATGAAGCCCAACAGCAAAGCTACCCCCACACAGAGACCCACAATCTTGCCAGCCTTGTCCTTGCTCGTGGCATATTTGCACGGTTTCGCACGACCGGTGTTGCGCTTTCGGCGGCGTTTGGCCTTCGGTTCGCAAGATACGCCGACTCGGCACGACGACCTGGGAGCGGGAAGGGGTCCGGATTGGGTCAGAGAGCGGAGGGAAGTCTGGGTGAGCCACTCCTCTCCTCCTCTCCTACCACGGATGGTGCAATTGGTTCAACCAGTTTCTTGGCGTTCGCTTGGCGCTTAAACTACGAACCAGTTCGGAGTGTGTTTTGTTGCACTTAAACTACGTTGAGCTTAATTCTGACAAAAGGTGTCCGGTGATTGAATGGCTGTCGTGGTGTCCACATCCTGCGCCAGCTTAATGTCCCCTGGAACTGCACCAATTTTACATTGGCCTCTAGGCGTCCTTTGCTCTTTGGGTCGCCTTTGCTGAGTTACCTTTGTTTCCAAGCTTGGAGCAAGTCTCTAACATGTGTCTGGAACGCCGAGTTCTTCAATTTTGGTGAGCAAGTCCAAATAGTCTCACCAGCAGCACTGTGGGCTGCACCATTCTGTTTGGGGTCTACGCTAGTGCATTTCTTGAAGCTAATCACAGGTAATAACTTCACTAGGCTGGTGAGCTTCAAGACCTCCAAAACATGCTGCAAAAAAGGCGTGGCGTTTCATCGAGCTTAGGCTTCCGTGCAACACAAGAAGCAAAGCGATGGCCTCCACCCTAGTAGCGATGGCCTCCACCTAGTAGCTTGTAGCTGCTAGTAGCTTCTTGCTACTATACTATAATAGTATATAATAGTAGTAATGGCCTCCAACCTAGCAGCGATGGCCTCCACCTGGTAGCTTCTTGCTACTAGTAGAAATGGCCTCCACCCTAGTACCTCTTGTGTTCGTTACATTTCTTTATTGCTTACGAGATCTGTCCTGGTTACTCTCCTTCAAGGAGATATCGCCGAAGTCTGGATCCTTGCCTCACCAACCAGTCAAACGTTAAGTTTTTGTTCAAACTGTCATGCTTTTTCGAAAAACAAAGAAACCACAAACATCGGCAAACACTTTGCTGCAAGCGAGTTCTGCCTGGTGGTAGAGTACCTCCTTTGGCAAAGTGTTGCAAGATCACAGAGCGCACAGCTCCAGACATGGTGCCAGCGATGAGGCACAAGGCCTTACACAGAGCGAGTCTATTTTGCACAAGGCACAAGGCCTTTCTGTTTCGTTGAAAATTTGAGAAGTGCTTCGACAGCTAGCGCCAGCTAGCACGAGTTCCTGCAATCATGGTTCAAGGTGCAGGTCCCAGGTAGAGGAAAGAGACCACTTGCGTGAAGATCGCGGCCAGGATCTCAATGAAATGCCCCACTGCATTGATCACCTCAATCGGCCGACCGCGGCCGGGCCCGGCTTGCCCGGGAGGCCTCGCCTCTTGAGAGCCCTAAGAGGAGCACTTCCGAGGACATGCGGAAGATTCTCGGCAACGCACCTGAAAGCGGGGGCGGGAGCTCAACCACAAAAAGAAAGATAACATGGAAAAAGAGAAGAACAAAGGCTGCGACTGGGGGGGGCATTTTGAATTAGGCCTTGTTCAAAGCGGCCCAAGTCCACCTCCCTTTATTTGGGGGTTCATCTCTTTTTCACTTAGGTGTGTTTTTCTCCTATGGCCCTTCCAAAAGGCACCCCACTAACTCAACTTCCTCCAGCTCTGGGTGTCAAACAGGAGACCTGCGCCGCCAACGGCAAAACCGTGGGGACCGTGGACGGGAGCGAGCGAGGGCTGTGTCAAGTCGCTCAGTGGTTGACATCAACGGCCGCTGCGTCGGGAGTGCGGACGCTAAGCCAAAGGGCGCTGAAAAGCGATGATACGCCGACTAAGCGCCGCCCCCCCCCGCGCCGCAGCTCGGGTCTCGATTTTCGCAGGTGGGATTTGCTCGTCCTATGGCTGAAGTTCGCTGAAGAGGAAGAGAGTTAGAACAGTTCGCACAGGAAGTTGGAGGAATGAGGAAAGCAGAAGTTTCAAGAGAGAAAAAAGCTTGAAAAGCAAATGTTCAGGTGTCATTACCCAGCTTTTTGGCTTCAAAATCAGTCGACACACTCAGGGCTTAACGCCTGAGAAGCGGTCGGACTTTGCCGAAGCAGGTTGGACCCGGTGGACGTGCCAGGCTGCCGGTATATACCTCGCCGTGACGGACCATCTTCCCGCAAGCGGCTGGCAAACGGTTTCCTTACGTTTTCCTTATGTTTTGATGGTCCGAAGTCCACTGCGACCGTTGTAGAGTTTGTGAAAAGCGCTGACTATAGTTGAAGTTCTTCGGTAAGATTGCACACAAGCAGAGATTGCGCAAAGCACGCGAAAGCATTGAGATAGTTCCGGCTTCTAGTGTAAAGTACGAACAAGTTGAGATCACAGAAAGCTACCAGTACACAAGAGTGGAGATGTCTAAAACGTACGGAAAAGCAGGGTTTCGTAAGTAGAGACATCTAGCACTAGCTAGAAGCCCAGAAAAGCAAAGCCGAATGAGATGCGGCAAAACAGTCGAGAATTCTACAGACAGATGGAGATGGAGACAAAAATTGAAGAGACTGATGGAAGTCTGTCGGGCCTTCCGACTTTTTCAGTGGAGAAAAGACCTGAAAAGACCAACCCGCTTGGTGCGACTGGCCAAGGAAAATAGAATACATAAGCAACCCTGCCCCCTTGCCGCATCGGACAGCACCGCATGAGAAAAACCACGCACCAGAAATGACACCACACTCTGCCAAATGAAATCACCCACCGGCCCCAGAGATGGCCTGGTTTACTGGACTAGTAGACTAGTAGACTAGTAGTAGACGTTTTGCTACTAGTAGACTAGTAGTATAGTGCAAGAATGCCTAGCACCTTGGAATACCTGGTTTGAGACTTGAATCGCCCCTTTGCAGCTTTTTGCAAGCTTCAGGCACGGTAGAGATCGGTGAAGTGTGGCGTGGCGACCTCAGCTTTGCAACGTCTCGCTGACCGGGTCCGTCGGCCAACTCCGTCGGGGGGCGACCATGCACACGATCGTGGCCAAGAGTCCTGAGGGGACGACGAGCAAAAAGGCTTCGGTGGGCTTTGTGGAGCAAAGCTAAGCAGCTAAGCTCTGTCCAAAGGCTTTGGCAAAGGAGAAAACGAAAAAAATTATGCCAGCTGCAAGCTCTGAAGTGTCGAGAACAGCACAGGCGACAACTCTCAGTCCTCGTCCCATCTCCAATGCCGTTGCCTCTGCTGGAGTCTTGTTGGGATCGCCAACTCCATGGAATTTCATCACTGCCTTCCAAGAACTTTCAACCAGCCGCAAGGGGTGAAAAGGCCAAAGGGCAGTATGCTCTGTGTGCTTGTTTAGACGAGCTGTATCGAGGCTCTCTCCCTCTCCCTCTCCCTGTCTCTCTCTCTCTCTCTCTCTCTCTCTCTGTTGTGCGTGTGTTCAAAGGAGAAAAGGACCAATGCCTGCTTGCTAATGACCTTGGATGACAAGACAGTAGTACTCTCTCTCTCTCTCTCTCTCAGAAAGCTATGCCCATGTCTTGAGTATGGACAACAATGGATCTCCACAAGCAAAGCTGGGAGACGGTATTCACGAAGAAGGTCACCTGCACTTGCCAAAAAAAAACTTTGTTCGACTGCGCATGTTCCGCGAAACTCACAAAACTCCACACAACTCACTCACGAACCTCACAAAACTCCAAAACTCCAAACAACTGGTTCGTTGACACAAAACTCCACGTTCGTTCCATCAACACCGGGAGCTCCACTCCACTGGTCCACTCTCGCCTGCTGGATAGTGTCCCAGAGCTGGTATCGACCGTACTCCGGCGCCACCGAGGAAGGCCAGCCCTCCGGAGCAAAGACGGCAATGAAGAAGTGCTGCGCCATGCTTCGCCATCAACAGGTTCAGACTTCAGACGGGCTCCATATGGACAGTGTGTGTTCTTGTGTTTTTCGTATGGTTTTTGCTCTTGAAATGCGAAGAGAAGTGCTGAGGTGTTGTTCTCCTTTGGTGCCAAAGGCACAAGTTGCTCAGAACATCCAGTCAAGTCATTGAACACACGCAAAGATACTTCAGCAAGAAGCACATGTGGCACATGACATATCTGACATGTGACATAATGATTCTTCAAACCTATGTCAATCATGGCTATTAGGTTGGAGGAGGCCATCGCTACTAGGTTGGAGGCCATTGCTCTTAGGTTGGAGGCCATCGCTAGTGGGTTGGAGGCCAGTCCTCTTAGGTTCCGTTTGCTTCTAGCAACCTATGCCAATCATGTAAATGTTGAGCCCCAATGGCCAAGCAAGATCTGCAAGCAAACGAACAAACGAATCGCATCGAATCGCGTGGATGCGCCGCTCGGGGCCATGCCATCCACAAGCACATGCATCTGGAAGGAACCCGAGGCCACCGGGTTTACAGTGGCTGTGTAGTTGCCACCTGACAGGATTCTGTACGAGAAAGCGGTGTGAAGTCCACGATTCTCAGAAAGGAAGCCTGAAGGACGATGGAAAAGCGAAAAAGAAACATAAAAACGCCGAAGAAAAGGAAAAGAAGATCAAAATGATATGAATATATGAATGATATGAATGTCAATCCAAAATCATCTCTCTTTGCCATGAAAGGCTTGTTGTGGAAGTCCAAAACCGAAGGACTCAAGGTTAGATTCGTCTCTCCACCTCCCAAATATGTGAAGGAGAGCATCACTGCCGGCTCCGAGCTCAGGTAGCCGGACAGAACTGAGCTCCTGAGGACGTTCTTCGAAGCTGAGGAGAAAAAACCCTAAAAAACAATGAAAGACAACAAGTTTTCCAAGTTTTTTACATTGCTCCAGCAATGCTGGCGATGCGACTAATTGCATTGCCAGCATCACACACTGGATACACGAATGCGTGCAATATCTTGCCTGTTTTGGCCAAACTCCCTGTGAGGCTCTTGACCGCAAAACCGCTTGAAAGAAAGAACGAGTTCATTCAAACCATGGACGCAAAAAACAACTGGATTTTCTACATGAAGACTGAGTCACGCGCGTTTCTGTGGACCGCGGATTGTCTTCTGAGTCCCTTGTATGCACCACAAAGGTATTGTCCTGCAGGCTGTGTGGCCGGGTGAGCAATCTGACACGCAGCGAATCTCACGGGCCTGCCCAGAGGTTATCAAGGACAAGCCGACCTCAGACGAAACCCCAACTTGATGAGAGATCCACTGCTTTCTGAAGAGTGTTCTAGATCGTTTTTGGGTGGATGTTGTAGATCGTCACGTGTTCAGAGAAACCTTTATGTAGCAGCATCTAGACCCCTGCTTTCGACCTGTATCTCTTGAACAATGCAGGCGAGCTTCGCCCGAGGCCGTGGAGGTGTTCGCTGCTTCTTGCGGCCTTCGAAAAACAAGTCAAGGCATCAATTCCGTCAGAGGTTGGATGATGTACACTACCGGTAGACTACTACTGGTAGACTACTACTGGTAGACTATTAGTAGCTTGCAAGAAAGCTACTAACAATGCTAAGATGCAGCTTCATATGTTTAGGGAAACTTGAACTTGATACCTTGTTTGGCCTTCCTAGTTTATGGAGTAGTTCGGTCGACCTACCAACTAAACAAGGACAGCAGTCATGTGAGGAGTGACCTGGACGATCTCACTATGAGCTTCACTACGAATTAACATCAAATTGATTTGAATTGAAAGAAACAAGTGTCACCTTTCACAGGATCAGTTTGATCTTTGCTCTCCCATCTCCAGGAATCCCAGCACCACCACAGTAGTTGTGTCCAAAGGCAAGACCTAGGAAGGCACAAAGGCAGCTCCTGGCTGTACTAGGAGCAAGAACGCTACTAGTAGCTAGAAGCTTCCTTGGGAATCGTTTCACCTGTAACAAGAAGCTAGTAGGTAGGTCTTTGTTCGCTACGAATGGAGCGATCGGACGCTACGAGACATGAAAAACGTTTTCTCCTTCGGTGCAGGACTCCATAGCACCAGTCTTTCAGGGTTCCCGGAAAGACCAGTCACTAAGACAAAGCAAGTCACGGTCTTCCTTTGAGCATTTGATGTGGGCTCTGTGCTGGGTGCGGGACATTGAGCGGATGCAGCAAGTACTGGCTGGGAACCAGCTCGTCTTCGAACTCCGTAGCTGCCTCTGTGGGACAGGCACTACAGGCCGAACGAATCGAAGATCTCGAGGTAGAAAAGAAGGTAAAGCGAATCATTGGAGGTCAAAAACAGAACAAAGACATCTTGAGATCGCCCTGGAAAGTGATGATATCAAGTACGTATGGAATTGTTTGGCACTCCCAACTGACTCTTGAAAGCACTCCTGGAAAAATAGAGTGTGCTTGTTCAAGAGGATGGAGGCATTAGACCCTTCAAGTAGCAAACTGTCTTGATGCTTCGAAGCGCTGTGCGGAACTCATGTCTCTCTCGACCAAAACAGCAAAATGCTGGCGCACCCAGTAGAGACGCACATAGGCTGTCCCTGCCTCAGCTGGAAGTGACTGGCACTACCAGGGACAAGCTGTTTTCACCTTTCATCTCTTGAAGTTTGACAAAAGCTGCCAGAGCTCACCCTGCTATCCATTGCCTTCCTGCCTCTTTGTTGAGAACGCGACAGAATGCTTGTACTGAACTTCGATGTACTCAGGAACATGATTCGTCAGCGTCACCTGAGGAATTCATGAAATGGACTGATCGCTTTTTCCATGAAAGCGTTCAGCTTGGAGTCTGCAAATCAAGTGGTGCTGGCAGCTTGGATCAACTTGGCAGTTGTGGTCCGAAGCGGCGTCTTTCAATGCCTTCCTTTGCGGCCACTTGCACTTACACTCAGAGTGTGAATCACTGAGAAATGAGGCCCTTCAATGGCCTCCAACCTACTACAGTAGCGACCAAAACAGAACCGTCTGGGATGCACTCACTTGTGCAGATGCACGAACTGCGGTGTCTGAAGCGATCTCGTCAATGACCCATGCAGAACCCACCTGAGTCACACGGCATCCAAATCCACCCTCACCCGAGATGATCCATTCACGGCATCCGAAGTGTCCGACGTCCGAAGTGTCCGACTTCGGCCGAAAAGGCGCACTGAGGCTCTGGCCATGACTCGGGCACCTCTGTCTGCTTCAATTCGAATGTTGTGCAATCCAGTGGCCTTTGGCCTCAGTCGGTGTGCCAACAGGACCGCGTCACGGAGCTGTTTCAGCAGCTGCGAATCGCTCGCTCGGACCGCGTCGGCTTTCCGTCGTAGCAAGAGGTAGAAAAATAGGTGATAGAAAGCTTTTTATTGTTACGTTCGTAGCGATGGCCTCCAAGCCAATAGCGATGGCCTCCTCGCTTCTAGTTACTAGATTTTGTTGATACGAGAGCATCCATGTTCCAATGCAAATATCCCTCAAAGCCTAGGCAACCGAGCTTTTCTGCGTCCTTGCTACTGCTTCCGGTGCAAACATATGAAGGCTGGAGAAACAAGGTTCGCTACGCACGGGGCTCCTGGCCTTCCTACGAACGGAACAAGAGGATGCTACTAGGAGCAAAGGGCATCGCTACTAGGGGCAAGGATGCTACGAACGGGGCTCCTGGCCGTACTACGAAGGGAACGATCGGACGCTACGAACGGAACAAGAGTGGAGGCCATTGCTACGAACGGGTTAAGCCGCAAAGCTGTTTGTGGGGCGCGTGGACCGTTCCTGCATGCGGATCAGATGCGTTCCGAGATTCGTTCTGGTTAGACAAAAGGTTGAAGAAACGCACAGGACATACAGAGCAAAAACCTGGCAAGCTGCTACTACGGGCTCCGGGCATCGCTACTAGTAACAAGAAGCTGGGCTCCTGGCCTTACTACGAACGAAGCAAGGTTCGCTACGAACGGGGCTTCTTGTGAGAAGATGAAGGAAGCAGCTTGCCGCATTGGTCCAACGGGAACGTGGCTCGGTGTCAAGTCTTCACCCACAAGGGTTGTGCCACTCTTGCCGCAGTCCACCACCCAAGGGTCTGGAGCGATCGGACGCGAACCGAACGGGGCCCACAAGTCGGGTCGATGTGCGTTTCGACCAGAGCGAGCGAGCGAGCTGAGCGTGGGTCGCTCAGCGACTTGATGCTGGAGGGAACCCCTTTTTGGGCGAGGATGAAAGCATACTCTTTCTTGTGTGAATCAAGTTGCATGCATCAGTTTTGAAGTTGCTTTGTGTCCTGAGCCCTCGACAGCAAGTAGCCGTGCCAATGCACCGAGTAATAATCCTCTGGGCATGTAGCTACTGGACTCTCTGGCCAAATGATGTTCAGCTGAGGATCCACCTTGGCTGAAACCAGGTGGAACGGGCACAATCAGGCACAATCGCCCGCCTGGCCCGTTCCAGCGACCGACGCTTTTGGGTGACTGACGCTCTCTTCTGAGCTGTAAGTCTCTGATGTGATGATAGTAGCATCCTCTTGTTCCTAGTAGCAATGCCCTTTGCTCCTAGTAGCTATTTGCTACTGCATGATATCAGTGTAATTCTCTCAAACTTGGATCATGCTGGCAGACTGGCAATGAAATGTCGCATTCTTGTGATGCAAACCGGAAACGAAGTCTGGCACATTTCTGTGAACGACATTGCCAAAACACAATGCAATTTGCAATTTGTTTTTAATTCAGACTTTGCACTACTATGCCCTTGCACTACTTTTGACTATTCGGAACTAATGGCAGGAGAAGGAAAGGGACTCGGTATCAGACTCGTGTGTACTCAAAGAGCGCCAAGCCCTGATGTGGTCGGTCGGTCAGCAGCGACACCAGGCTCTGGAAGCCTCACATGTTCATTGAAATACAGCGATGGCCTCCAACCTACTAGCGATGGCCCCCAACCTACTAAGTAGCGATGACCTCTCATTGAAATAATATTGAAATCTTGCAGGATCTTGCAAGATTGGTAGATGTTGGTCCACTAAATATCGTGTTTTGTTTTGCATCGGCGTTTCTTTTGAAAAGCAAAGACGAACTCTCTCGTCCTGTCGCGATGCCTGGAGTTCGATAGTAGCGGCCGATCAAACCACCACGCGCCCAAAGCCTCATCCGTCAGATTTCGAGACGAGAGGAATTGATGACTTTCTGGATGATTTTGGATGAATTGATATGATCCGTCTTCAAAAGAATTCTGCCAAATAACCATGTCTGTTCTTGTTTTTCCTCATGTGTTAGGAGATGTGTTTGGGTTGTCAAGTGTGCCACCGCACCTGCCACCGCACGTTGTTTGAAAAGGGAAACAACGAATCAAGCTGCCAGATCTCAGGGCAACAACAGCTGATTTGCCCCTCTGAGGTTGGCACTGCGTAACCACAGAGTACGCTCCAACTTTGTTGATCTGCAAGCATTCAGGCCATGAACTAGTAGGTTGGAGGCCATGAACTAGTAGGTGGGAGGGCATTACGGCCTTGAAAAGAAAAAGGAATTAAGGGAAAAAAAGGAAGGGAAGCTACGTTCGGGGCTCCTGGCATCGCTTCAAACGGAGCGATCGGACGCGACACCGCTGAGACGACCGGAGACCTGAAGTGGGAAATCGTAGTTGTCGTCCACAAGACTGTAGGTCCCCGCAACGGTCACCACCTCGGACCGCTTCGTTTCTCGCGCGTGTGTCCTCGTGCCTCGTGTCCTTCGGTTTTTGAAGCCCGGAGCCGGGCCCTGCCTCCTCACTTAAAGTGGGCGCCTACTTAATTACAAGGGCGACTCGCTTCGGAGGTAGCTAGGACGCAGGATAGCTCACGTTCGCCTGTAACGTCCTGTCGTTTCTAGACTGTTTATTCACTTAGCAGACTTCGCCTGTACTCGTTGCACTCGAAGCCTTGAGTGATGAAGCCTATGGTCGATTTTTCCCTTCAGAGTGCTGGTGCTCAGGTCGGAGTGCTGGTGCGCTGGAGTCATCCATGTTCACAAACTCCGCCTGGAACGACGACAAAGGCACGAAGCACTGAGACGAAGCACTGTTCGTGGACAAAAACAGAATTCGTTCAGAAATAGATCTGAAGTGTGTTCGATTCTGAAGCGTTTCGATTCTGATAAATGCGTCACAGCCTGACAGAAGAACCAGTTGGAATAAAACCCCTTGCTGTTCAAAGGCCGTGTATATAAGTGTTGTCATCAGCATCTCCGCCTCGATAAAAATGTCGTTGTCCACAACTTTGTTGCCAAAGGTGTCTCGGGGAAAGCATTGGAACCTGGAGCGCATGACGAAAAGACAAACACCTCAAATAGTCAAAACGAGGGACATGTTAGGAACAAGGGCATTACTACTAGTGGCTAGAAGCTACTATATAGTAACAAGTGCCCCGCTACTAGTAGCCAGGGCATCGGGCATCGCTACTAGAAACAAGGGATATGTGTACAAGCATTCTTGCTTGAACTTGCAAGCATAGGCGATTCCAACACCCATCTAAGATCATCAAATAGCATTGCACCAAGTAGTACTCAGGGGTAAACTGCAGCCACAATGAACGATTTTTTCTGCACCGGAGGTGTTTGATGATACATTACGATACATTAGCATCGCTATCCGCAAGCACTGTGGTAAAACCGCCGCCGGTTTGAGGGAGGTCTCTTTGCTCGGACAAATCTGGTGTTCTTCAACATCTTGAAAAAGCACAAATACACTCAAGACGATCTGTATCTGTGCGATCACACAGTGGAAATCGAGTGACGCACTTGAGGTTACACGAACAGAAGCTACGAGAGTTACGCAAGAAATGCAGCAACATCCACCGCTAAGGACACAAGATATGGGAAAAAACCAATGGATATCTCTAGACAGGGCAAGCATGGCCATTGAGAACACAACAAAGAACGAACTTATGATTCAGTGGGGACAAGCCAATGATCTGAGTCCTGAGTCCACGGGCGAGACAACGAACGGAGTGCATAACAACATGTTCATGGTGGAGAAGAAAACCCAAGTACAGTAAGTTTCACTGATACAGGTCCTAGGGTTGAAAAGCATTGAAAGGCTATTCGGCTATAAAGGCTATCGCTATCGCTATCGCACGCACGCGGATTGCCCGGAAATACTGAGGATCCGACAACGATTGAATTCCGGCGGTAACTTGGGCAGGAATGGCACAGTCTGTCCCATCATACTTTGCAAGCGAGCTATTGACCTCAAAGAATGCAGATTGCCTCAACGGCTCATGGGTTGGTAGATACTGGTCTGTCAGCCTTCAGATTGTTTAGAAGCTGAGCTTCAAACTGGGATCTCTGGTGTTGGTGTGTTGGAAATCTGAACTCCAGCCCTGCAGGTGAGACGGCTCGTTGAATCTAGATGTGCCATCCGACATGACAACCACACAAAGTGACATGATAATGTTCAATATTGTCTCGAAGAAAAAAGAAAGAACACTCACAAGAAAAGAAAAGGAAGGCACAAAGGAAAAAGAACATCTGATTCAAATAGTGGCATAGCATCTCCAACAACATTCTCCAAGTGTGGCGTCTGTGGATCCAGCAATGTTATCTGGAGCGGATGTTGCCCAGCCTCAGCTCTTGCAGTAATTCCACCGTCCCGTCCCGTGCATTGGTGCAAAAAGAATGGACTCTGAAAAAGGAGCCAAGGAAAAAAAGATGTCAAGAATCACAAAGGTTCAAAGTGTACAAGTTCTACCCCTCGGTACTTCCGAGAATGCTTCCACACGGTCTTCAGTCTTGACCTTACCCCTTACCATGGACAAGGATGCTTTCTGATCCGGACGCTATTTTGATCAGGTCCTGTAAGAGCGTGCTTTCCCGTGATGTGTCTGGAACGCAAATTGGTCTGACTGCAACTGCTTCTCATCGATTCATTCTCAGCGAGAAACCAAGTGCGTGCCCACCTTGACCGTCACTGTCCTCAGTCTCAAGCGGCAAGGCAAAGCGCTACTGGGCGCTACTGCTTACTGGCAACAAATGTTTTTTCACCAGTCTAGAAGGTCAAAACGCTGAGTGTCCCGAGTTCACATGCCTTTCTTTCTGCCGCTCATCAATATGATTGCTTTAGCTTTGACTCGCAAAAAAAAGAACTGCTTTCTTGCATGCTTGTTCTTTCTGACAAGACGACAAGATGACTGGCTCTGACTGTGGGGTTCATCCCATATCTAAGAATGAGGCCCATCATTGTGATCTGTATAGGCCAATGTACTGGGTCCAAAGCGGCCCTAGGACTGTCGACGGATTCAAATCTTGACGTCGAAAGCCCCTTCAACATTCCGTTCCAAACGAAAGAGACGCTAGAGACGCTAACAAGAAACTTCTACATTGTCCAAAAAAGCGCATTAGCTCTTCAGTCTTAAGTCTTAATTAACTGCATGGCCGCAAAGAAGTTCTTTGGAGGCACAGTGGGGCGGCCCACCTGAAAGAGTAAGCTAGTGCTGCTGCTGGTGCGGTTGTTCCCGAATTGGTCCCGTAACTGCACCAGCGCATCCACGGTGACACCCGCCAGGTAACCTCGTTCGAAGCCAGCGTGTCTCGGGTCTCGGGTCGTCGGTGTCTCGGGTCGGTGGGCCGCGGTTGGTCCTGATGGCTGAGAGTGGTGAAAACTACTAGTAACAAGTGCCACGCTAGTAGTAACAGGTGCCTTACTAGTAGTA